GGCTGTCTGTCCATCCTGCACAGCCTCCTGGCTGGCTGTCTGTCTGTCCATCCTGCACAGCCTCCTGGCTGTCTGGCTGTCTGTCCATCCTGCACCGCCACAGCCGCAGAGTGCAAAGAGCTCTGCCAAAAAATGGGATGCCCAAAAGTATGACCTACCTTTTCCTTCCTTTTCACATTTCCAGGGAGCTGTTAAAAATTAAAGATGCCTTTAAGGAGCTTCCCAGAAAACTGGGGAAATGTAGGACGTGGTGTACCAGCAGGTTACAAAAGGAAGCAACTTTCCTGCAATATATTGTGCTGCAAAGCAGTTTGCTACGGTGTGGCTCAAGTATTTCAATTAAGAAAAACAACAATCAAGGACAAACATCGTTTTAGTAGGGGGGGTTGGATTATTTCTATGGTTACAGTGCTGGAGCTGCAACTGGAATCAAAGTTTTAAAATCAAGGTTACATTTATGTTTGTTAAAGTACTGATGTTAATGGCGATTTTTTACGTACACAGAAAACTTTGGGGTTTTTGGTTTATTGAGGTTTTTTGAGGGCAGGGTAGTGGACAGCTCGAGCTATGAATTAACTTTATTGGGTTCAAGTTTGTGTCACTGCTTTAGCATCAAACAAAGGGAATGATTTTGATTATTCCCCTCTTCTAACTTAATGCATTTATGTTGTGCTCATACACCATTGCTTGGGGTTTTTTTTTGCATTGGAGTGAAACTCCAGGAGCAAAGCGAGATAAAAGAAACTCATTTATCCTCCTGCTGGACTCCTGCAGCTCTGAGGGCTGCATGGGGAAGGATCTTTGCTCCTCCTCCATCCCTCCCTGTCCAGCACTGCTGCTGCAGGAAGGGCAGCACGTTCCTGCCCTGCACAGAGCCAGAGTCCAGCCCAGCTGTGGGAACCCTGGGCACTGGGAATATGGAATATGGAATATTTCTGTCTGCTCTGGGCTGTCCTGACCCCCAGGGCAGCTCTGACTCTGACCCTCACTCATGGAGAAGCTCCCATAGCCTCAAGGTAAACCAGAAACCACAAAAGTGTGAAATGGATTGTAGAGATTGTAGAGAGTAGTGGAGTGTGTCACATGGGTGAGAAATTCAGGTTTTAGGAGTTTTAGGATGTTATAGATGGGTTCAAGATGGAGGATATAGGATGTTGTCTTGAGTTCCCTTCTTCTTTTTCCTTCTTCTTCTTGGGTTTGGGTGATATCTTGTAACCGGGTAGAAAAATCTGCATTGTGGGTCTTTTAGGGGTCAGTTATTGGGTTAGGAAGGGAAATAATTTAGGTGTCACTTCTTAATTGGGTAGCTTAGTTTTGATTCGACTGAAAAGTCCTTGTAACAGGAGATTTTTAGCCATTTTTGTGCTGTTTTCCTGCACGCAGAGTCTGGTGCAGACAGCGTGCTGAAGTTCTGGTAAGATATCAATAAGCAGAAGCTGAAGACAGAAAAAGGCCAATGTGCCTCTGGTTCCTGACACAACACTGCTCCAGGGAACTGCCCAGCTCGGGGCTGCAGACTCACACCCAGGGAAGCCCAGTCTGCATCCCGGGCCTCTCCCAGCAGAGGAACCAGAGCTGCAAGGGGCTCCTACAAGAACTTGAAGCTGCTGCCTGTGCTGGGACAGATTTATCTGTGGAGCAGAACTGGGGTGAGGATAAAACACTTGTGGGCTGCTGCAGTCACCCGGGCTGCCAGGAAATGGCTTTTCAAAGCCACGGGCTCCTCTTCCCACGTGTTTTCCCAGAGTAACCACAGTGAATTAAGGGGCATTACCAGTAAATGGCTGCTGCTTTTTAGGGCTTGGGGCTGCACTGGCTGCAACAGCTCTGCTGGAAAGTGTCTGGGAAGGTTTTTTTTTAAAGTATGGAAAAAAGAATAGAAAACAAGTTAAATTCTTGCAGACTGTGGGGAAAGAATTTCAGCAACATCCTTGCCTGTAGGATTTATAGCAGGAGCTGCCTTGGTGCAAGACTGGAAATGATCAGAGCTCTGCTGCTGCCTCTGAGCAGAGGAAATGACCTGGGCTGGGGGTGGCTCTGTGCTGAGCAGAGCTGGAGGATGCAGAGGGGCAGCGAGGGCTCCAGCCTGGCTCCTGCCCTCCCTGGGTGCTCAGGGCACTGCTGAAGCCTCCACCTCAGCCAGCAGGAGCAGCCTTGGCCTGGCACAAAGGCAGGAAAGACACGGAACAAAAATATAAAAAGAAAAATGGAAAAAAGAAAAAGCAAGGATAAAAGAAGAGGGAAGAACAGAGGAGCCCAGATCTTTCCCTCAGGCACTTGTCAGCTCTCAGAAAGGTGGTGACACAAGGACAGCAAAGTCCACTTTCTTCTCCTGCTCTATTAAAAGTTTGAGGGATAACGTTTGTGTTCAGGTTTTTTTTAGGAGGGCCATTGGAAGTTTGGTGTTGGTGGCACCAGCATTGCCTTGAAGTTTAGGTGACCCTGCTTGGGTTTGGTAATGATTTGCTGAGTTTGCTGTCTCCTCAAACCTAAGGAGGCCTCAATATCTCACTGCCCTTGCCCTGCTCTAGCCCAGCCTCAGCAGGAAAGTGCCAGGAGTAGTTTCTGTCCTGATGGAATTTCATGCCCAAATGAACTTCACTAGAACAGCGTGTTGTTTTTACTCTGGTGCTGGAAATCCTCCTTTTTTTTTTTTTTTTTTTTCTACTCCTTTTCCACAACTGAAAATTAAAAGCATTTTCTTGCCATTGCCACAGCTGATTTGCAGCTTCTTGTGCAGTTTTAGGTGGCACAGCCTGGCCAGAAGCTCCAAGGCAGGCTGAGCTCTGGGATTTGAGCGTGTGGCTGAATTAGGAGCTGGTGCCAATTCTGCGTTTCCCCAAGCACGAGGCACGTGGAGCAGCAGTTCCACAGGAAAAGGGAGCTGGAAGCCAGCCTGGGCTGGCACGGGGAGGGGGCACAGTTCTGTCACCTCCAGGGCTCGGGGACCCTCGTGCCTGAGGAAGCTGAGCCTGGCACCCTTTGCTCTGGAGCTGACCATGCCCTGATGGAGAATTTTGGTACCCAGGGTGTGGGACTGGCTCTGCAGGTTTTTCCACGGGGATTTTTCCCAAAAGGGACTGGAATAACCTGCTTCTCTCCAAACTGGCGAGCTCTGCTGCTATTTTGACACTTTGTTTATTGTGGATGCTCAGACTTGTCAGAGAGACTCAGGCAATGCTTCTTCTCTCTTGTCTGGCTATGAAAATTATCCTGATAAGATATTTGAAAGTTTGTGGGATTTTGTTTTTATTTTAGTATTCTAGTCAAATGAAAATGAACTTGAAAATTGAAATGATAACAAAGTAGGGGATTATAAGATGATTTTGGAAGGTTTTGATAAGAAGTGGCAATTTCTGCCTTGCTGCAGTAGCTGCACTTTCCCAGCATATTCTGCCTACCCTGGGAACACAAGAAATGGTGTCACCATCCCTGCACAATTCTATTACTAAATTGTCAGAGCAGAGTCAGATTCCTGGCAGCAATGATCCAACTCCATTTTCCCTTCCCCACGGCTCAGCAGTGACCTTGACACTGCTGGGCAGTGCTCGTGGAGCTGGCTCGGCGGGCACAGGTGCCAGCCTGGGGGAGATCATCCCTGAGAACTGGAGCTGGGTGTGGGACTGGCCCTGCACGGCCCCAGGGGCCTGGGCTGGGAGCCGTGGATGGGCAGCAGCCCTGGAGCACGTCTGTGCAGAGCTGGACACAGCTGCTGCTGGTCGATGCTCTTTGGGTGCTCCTCTCAGAAGTGCTTTCCTTGAGAGCCAGGATCGAACCTCTCAAATGCAATCAGACAAAGCAGGTTTTAATTGGTGCCAGCGGTGCATCACTGTCATGCAAGAGATCCAAAGGCAGAATTGTCTGAGCAGAGTCCAGCAGTGCAAGGTGGAACCAGGAGAGGTGCTGGGAGCACTGGGGATGCAGGGACGGATCCAGGGGTGGATGCAGGGATGAATGCAGGGATGGAGCCAGGGACAGATGCAGGGATGGATGCAGGGATGGATCCAGGGATGGAT